GAATGTGGATGGGGCCTTTGGACTTCACGACGCTATGGTTACGGCCATCCGGGACTTACTGCAGAAGGAGTGGAATGTTCGGTTACAACATGTCCATAGAGAAGCGAATTTTTTGGCTGATCACATGGCAAGCTTAGCGATCTCATACCCGTTAGGCCTGCACCGAGTTTCAAGTATTCCTACAGGGCTGGGCGAGTGGCTTCAACACGATAACATTGGGGTTTCCTACCCCCGACGGGTTCTAGTTTAGGTATTTTGGCCTCCTTTATTGTACCAAAAAAAAAATCCAATATATGTGCAATTTAAAGAAAAATAGATTATACAACCACTCCAACACAATATTTTAAAGTTGTCTAAAATAAGATGTGGATAAATTTAAAGAAAAATAGATTATACATCCACTCTAACACAATATTTTAAAGTTGTCTGAAATAAGATGTAAGTAATATACGCTATTCATTTATCTCCTTTTATCTATTTTCTTCCATCACATTTTTTCATGCATTTTTAAATTAAAAATCAATCATCACTATATATTTATCCACAAAATTTAATACGCAATCACCCACATATTTGTAAGTAATAATTATTTTTATAGTATATTATAACATCACATCTAATTATTATTCTTTATTTATATCATCTCTAACAAAAATATCGTTCGGCTAATTTTTGTTCGCCCACTCAAAAACTCTCCAATAATTAAAATATAATCACTTAGGCCTGAAATTGATTTCCTATATTGTATTTTTAATTTTTATCAAAGACCATTTGCTGCCCAAAATACCTTATGTTGCAATTTTTTATTTTTTAAAGAGACCGAAACTTTGTGTGATTCGATACGAATTATTTTGAGACACCGTGTGATTGGATACGAATTATTTTAAGACATTAAAAAATTTAATAGGATAAGCAGAGATTTTTTACTTTTTTTTAGAATAATAAGAATTTATAAATGGAACACATAACTACACTTACAACTCAATCAATAGCCGAATCTAATGATATGACACTCCGGGCAGTCTAAATACCACAATGCATTTACGATAATAGCCAACTCCCAACAAAAAAATCTTGATCCCAAAGAATAATAACACTAAAAAGAGAGAGAAAAAAACAAGAAACAAGGGAAACACATAAAAAAAACTAAACACAAACACAATAATCGAGGAGCCCGGCGGCCCCACCAACCGAGGCAACTCAAAAAAATTAGGTTCAATCGATGGAAAAATTGGGGAAAGTCAAAGAGAAAGAAAATAGTTTCTTTGATGTGCATGTGGTGGATAAAGGGTGTTAGAAAGTGAAAACAAAAAAAATGTCCGGGTGATTATTGAATTAATTTTGATTTTGTGAATGACTATGAGAAAAAAATATAATTAAAGTTGATGTGATATATAAATGGTAAAATAATAATTATAAATATAGATATTAAAAAATATGAGAGTGAATTAATAGTGAATTTGTTGGAAAATGAATAATAATTAATAGTTTTTACTATTTGATTATATTAGTAAAATAAAATATTTATTTACATTGATGTATTAGTTGTAGTTTTACTTTTATCTTACAAAATAAAATAAAACAAAATTATCCCACAACACAAAACATAAATATTTTTTTTTTTTTTTGGTAGCCAGCAACGATATCCGGAGCTATGCTCCGACTAATCTGTTGGTCGACTCGAGTCGCACACTTGACAGTAGTGGGTGAGTCTCCCAACAAGGGTTTTCTGCATCAGATAACCAACCACCCTAGAATCAGATAACATAACATTGATGTAAAAAAAAAATAAAAAAATAGTATATATTTCAAACAAATCACAAAGTGTGTGTCATAAATGCATCTATACATGGTACTAAATTCCGACAATTAATTTGATGCAGAAAATGGAGTCATTCATGTCATAAATAAAAGATAATAATAAAATCACAAAACTGGTAAAATTCAAACTCCCCTAAACCAAAGTCCCAAAATCCACTCTTTCGAAATTCGAATTATACAAACAAAAAAACAAAATATGC